CTACTACTACTACTACTGCGACTGCGACTGCTACTGCTACTGCGACTGCGACTGCTACTGCTACTGCCACTGCTACTGCTACTGCTACTGTTACTACTGCTACTACTGCTACTACTGCTGCTACTGCTACTACTACTGCTCCTGCTCCTGCTACTGCTACTGCTACTGCTACCGCTACCGCTGCTACTACTACTACTGCTGCTGCTGCTGCTGCTGCTACTACTACTACTACTGCTACTACAGTACTACTACTACTACTACTACTACTACTACCACCACCACCACTACTACCACTACTACCACTACTACCACTACCACCACCATAGTATCTGGCAGGTAAGCGCGAGGCGGTGGCAAGCATCCAGCTTGCGCAGCGCCATGTCTAGCTGCTCTTCGGCCGGAGCTGTCCGTGCCATGACCTTGTCCCAAAAAGAAAAGTGGCCTTAATAATTAGAACAGGGTTTTGGAGTATATTGTACTATCATCCTAATCCAAAATATTATAGGTAATTGTTAATGCCCCTGTATTTCGTTCGGCGCTCCCCTCGTCGAGCCGGAACCCAGTTCACACACGCGGTGTTGCCCACTACAAAGTCGATTCACCAACTACCCTCATGTCGAACCAAACCGCAAGTCTCCAAATCACCACCTTTGGAAACAAGTCTATCCCAGAAATTCAGAACGCTATCACAGGTGCTGGTATGTCAGGTATGTGAACAAGTAGGCGGTTTGGAGGAGATACGCTCGTCCGGCCTGAGGAATGACAGTGGTATCCCACCGTCGGCTCATGACGACCTGCCACTTGCACAAACTGCTACCGGAGAGTTTCTGAAGTTCCGAAGAAAATCTTCTTCCGGTGCAAAGTCTAGAGAGAGCATGGCAGCTGCTGAAGCGCTTTAGAGTTTCGCTCGTTCCTCGTACTCCCGGCTCGGGAGTCGACATGCCCAAGCCCTACTTTGAGAGTTAAGAAGTGTATACAAATAAGGCAAGGCATATAGTTATAGAATCTTCTGTAGATGCAGCCACATTACTTTGCAGAAACCTTCACGATACCGTTCACGACTGTCTTGCCACACGGAACAATTGTATCAAGTACTGTATTGCAGCCCCCATGCCCTGACTTCAAGCGGTAAGCCGAACCATACAAGGTCGGCCCTGCTTCATACATCCACGCACTTCGTCGTTCTTCTCCCTCCCCAGTGTCCCCAGTTCCCCGTGACACAGGAGGGCGCACGCAGCCGTACCAAAGGTCGTCATGAGCACCGTCACAGCCAGGTTCTTCGGCCTGCGATGCGACGGATTTCGGAATATTCAGGGAAGTTGCATGTAGATCCCGACCATTCCTGTTCTGGCTTTACAATCTTTTTGCAATGACATCTGCGCGACGACCCTCGCAGTCAATTGCACACAACCATGCACGCAAAATCATGCACATGCACTCACACCCAATGCACCGGCATGCGTATACTCTCACGCTCGCACAAGAATGCACGAAGTGCCGGCACACGCATTAACACAGGCACGCATGCAAGACGCGACTGGCATCTGCACACTCTTTCGGAATGACAGCTCGGGAACCGGCTGCATCCCGCAATCGATCCCGAACCGGCAACAGCTAAACCCGAATTTCTCGCAACCAAGGCATACGCGGGGACGGCCTCGTCGGATGCTATCTCAATTCGTGGCGTAAGCCCCTGCCGCACCTCGGCTCTGGGTCAAGCCACCCTTTGCAATTCTGAAACTAACGGCCGCTTTGTTCTTCGTTCTTCGTGCAAGGTCATCGTGCGAAGCTTCAACTCCGGCAACAGTCCAACACTGGTCCAACTGTCGCGTGCAGCTTCAACACCTCCCCAACCACTGCCGACAGGGCACCATGGCAGCAAGACCTTTTCTCACATCGTTGTCCCATGGCAGGCCGTCCTTTCAGTGCCATCACGTCTGTTCTGCGGGCAGACAGCTCAAGGTTACCCTTCGCACAGGTTTTCAGGAATCATCTTCTGGACATGAAGTTGTCCTGACACCAGCACATCCTCAGATCCCTTTGTATCGGAGCACCGAGGGCCTCGGCAGCGTACTGGTCACAAGGAGCAGCTGCAGCACGCAACGCCGTGTTCGGGGTTATTCCCTTTTGAGGTTGTAAGGCTTCCGCAACAGCTTCCGACAGATGGCGGGGTTGGCCATGTTTCGATGCGGGCTACAAACCGACGGACTGGGTTCCCCGCCTCTGCCGTGCAGGACACCTCAACAGTACCCCATATTCTACCGTCCTGCTTTGAAGATGAACAGGCGTCTGGCCGAAAGGCTTGAGAAAAAATCGAGGCCAGGGCCACGCCGTCGGAGTTGATTTCTCGAATAGAGTCGCCAAGGACAGTACTAAAAACCTGGCCGTCCGTCCAGAGGCCAGAACAAGCGTTGTGCATTGCGGTCCTACAACTCACAGACCAGCTCCAGAATCTTCCGAGGCCAGTGCCAAGGTGCCCACGCACCGACCTTGCCAGAGAAAACTCGCTGCACAACAATGTCACTGCCGAGCTTTCACAAGAAGGCCAGGCGGACAAGTTCCGCCCATAAGGGCACACGGCCGCCACATGTCGCGCAGTGGCCCTGCAACCGAAGTCCTCTCGCCCAGGAAAGGTTTTTAACGAACAAAACAGCTGTGCTGGTGCATGCCCAGGATTGCTCATGTTGGGGAGACTCCCGGACATAGTAACACAGGGAAACAAGTAAGCGGTGGCATCCTCAGCTGCGGTGTTTCTGCTGCGTCTGTGGAAGGTGCCTGGAGGAATGCATGCAAAGCTTTTACCAGAGCAAGTTGAAGGTGGCTGGCCTCGTCTGCCGGGTCGGTTCCTTCGCATGCGGTGACACTGACTGTTTCAAAGCGACAGTAGAGAATTTTGTCGACGTACTGGTTGGTCGGATAGGCGGCGACGACAAAGGCACAATCGTTTCGGCTGCATTGGTCCTCCGCTGGCCAATGCCTCAAAACTCCGCCCCCAGCGCAAGCCACCTGCCAATTTCAATGTAATCGTCTGGGTGACCTGCTTGGCAGCAAGGCATCCCCATGCAGGCGAACAGACTTCACAGAGTATGCACCACGAACCGAAATTAAAGCTACACGAGCCCACGTAGCAGGCTCCATACAAGAACTGCACTGAGTCAAAGCATTCTGCACGCATATCAGTTACCGCCTGTGGCTATGGCCGCAGCTGCAAAGCTGCCAAGGCATAACCTCCGCATTTCGGGGTCAGGTGAACATTCGTGAATCCGGCTCCCCGTACAAACCCTGGCAGGCTGAGGACAAAGGAGAATTGTGGGCTGTGGCTTCTGCGAGCGCCTGCGAAGCGCCAGAGAGCGGTTCCGCGCCGCGCGCGATTGTGCGCCCTGACCGAGAGCCAAGGAGTTGTGAAGCACCAGAGGAGAACTGGGGCTTCGCACCCCGACAAAACACCACAGCTTGACTCTGCAACCGGGAATATAAGGTAGATGGAAATTCTAGATCTCTGCCGAACTCGCTCTGAATGCAGCCGCATGTGCTGCCTCTTTCACCCTGTGTGTGGCAGCGTGCGTTTGTGAGCGCTAGGCCTATATGATTTTGTGTCAGATGTGCACACTTGTTGCATGCTCGTCGTGCCTCTGGCGCTCGTCTAGGTAGTGCCATTGATGAGCGAGGCAGCGCGTCAGGCAGGAGCAGTCCTTCTGCCGACGAACTGTTGCTGGAAACAACCGAATTGAGCCAAAAGTCGCAAGATAAATTGTGAATTTTGCACCACAAAAACTGCGATGCTCTCATCTGTCCAACATTTGTGTTTTCCACAACCACAGATTGAAACCCTAACCCTGACCACATGTGTCACATGATGGCAGGCGTCGCTGCATTATCTTTCTTCTTCCACACAGACAAAGGGCAAGCAAGGCTCACCCCTGCACGCGAGCGCGCACTGTCCTCCTGTGTTCCGAAACGAATACCACTGCAGATGAGGCTCTGTGCAAGAACTGTTGAACCCCCTAACCCCCTATCCTAGGGAACCCCCGGCCTCATCTGCTGGGCTCAAGCCAGCTCTGTAGAGCAAACTCGCACCCTATTGCCAACTCACAACTGGCTACTGCTTTGTGCCCCCATCAACACAGGTCAAGAAAGTTGAGCTAAGCACATGAAACATGAGTGTGATTGCAGCACAAAGTCTGAGGCCCCGGCCCTAGCACGAACTCTTACACAGACTGTGACCCCACTCAAGGAACACATACCCCCTAGAAGCAGTGCCAACACGGTGCTCCTATGGCTAAGACTGTTCCTACGGGTCCGGGTTGCCTCTGTTGTCAAAAAAGGCAGCTTGTTGTCGCCTTCGGCGATGCTCGCTCGGCCCTACTGGCTCTCCCCTCTCATTGGCTTCGGCTCCGGTGTCCACCCCACTGTCTGCTGCGTCTTCCCCCAGCGCCGCGAGTCGTGCTTCTTCCTGTTCTTGCCGCTCATATTCTTCCAGAGCTTGGATCAGGTCGTCGTCCGTTGGGCCCCCAAACTCTTCTTCTCGTTCAACCTGGGAGTCGTCCGTCGTAGGGATGCTCCCCGGCCACTGGTCAATGTTCAGTGGCGGGACCCATCTGGAGTCTGCTGGCGCCCCCCGCTGTGGTTGGCTCCCCTCCTCCGTGGACTGCGTGTCCACCAGCACTGTCTCCGCTGGCTTCGCTTGTCTCCACACCGCAATGGCAGCCATCAGCTGCCGTATGGGCTCCCCCCCATACTGGACGAAGTGTGCCACTGCCTTGACGGTTTCGCAGCAGTAGGTCGACTCTGGTGTCAAAGTCCCCCTCTGGTGTTGCTGGGGCTTCTTCGGCCCCTTCGTGCAGCGCAACCACATCGGCTGGATGTACGTAGTCCAGCTGGCTGGACTCCTCGAGGAGCTCCTCGGCCTCTTGCATTGCCAGTGCCACTGCTTCGGCCCAGCCTGGTGTCATCCAATCCAGATCTCCTTCAGCTGTGGCCCCCATGGCGACTTCAATAGCTGCCCTCGCTTGCTCCAGGCCATGTCGTCCATGTTGCACCTGGTAGCCCCCCTGCCCGACCAGCGCCTGCTGGAACTGCACTGTCCCCCTGTCCAGGTCTCCCCTTGCCTCCTTCAGGTCCTCATAGATCTGGTGCTGGTTGTAGCCATACTCCCCCTCGTCTGAGGCCACATCGGTGAGGCGCATACGGGAGATGGACAGCAAAAACAATATGCGTCGTTTCTTGCAAGGACCAATTGCCCCCACTGTCCCATCTTCTGTCTGCTCGGCCTCTTGGTTGCGGCTCACAGTTTGCATGGCTTCCTCGAGCAACACGAAGATGGTGTCCCCCGGAGCCCTTTCTCGCAGAACCACGGCTAACTCACGCAGCCACTTTCGTATCATGGCGGCGGCATTGCTCATGCGCTGAACCACCCTTGTGTCCAGCACTCGCGGGCCATGGCTCGAGGCTGCCCCACTACCTGTTGCTGTGCGCTGCATGAGCTGTACCCCCTCGTCATCTTCCTCTTCTTTCTCGGTTGGCTGGCGGCGTTGCGCCCCCTCCTCTGTCTCCAGTTCTGCTCCCGCTGTCTGCGGGCTGGGCGTGGGGCTGCTGCTGGGGGCCGCCCCCGGTGATGCATCTTCCTGGTAGGTCTCGAAGGTCGGGTTGCCGACAGGTTGTCTCGTGCTTTGCGGCGGCGGGATAAGTCGCGCCCCCATCTCTTCCCATTGCGAAGGCGGCATAGTGTACGTTCTGGGGAGTCTGCCATATGTAGCACCAGTTCGCTGCATAAACCCCCAATCGTAATAATATTGCAGTGCGATCTTCGGGGGTAACCCCCCTGGCCCCCTAACTCCCAGATGGTGCCCCCCGGCTTCCACTCCAGCGTGAAGGAAGATCCCGGCGTCATCTCCGCGGCGTTCTCATCTGGATGCGATGGGCCGCTCGTGACATGGAGCAGCCATTTAACAGGCCTTCCATTTGTCACACGCCCCCACGGGAAGAGGACAAATGCCGTGGAAATCCCCATATAGCCGGCGGGTTCTCCCCCATTCGGTCGCCTTCGAAGTCTCGCCCTGCAAAAACCTCGGCGAGGGTCGCTGTACTGGGGAGCTCTTCGCGAACCCGTCGCCATGGCAATGCCCGCCCACGCTCCGTGTGGCAAGCTTCTGAAGTGGACGTCCACTCCCCAAGCCGTGGGGATTTCCGGCGGGAAGGTAATCGGCCGGGGGGCTCCCCCCGGCGAGATCAGCATGTTGCTGAAAACTCCGTCCCATTGCAGGTTCTCGTCTTCGTCTTCGTCGTCGTGCGGCTGCTGCTGTTCCGTTGCTGCTTCTTGCCTGCGTCTGCGGGGGTCCCCCGGCGTCCCTCCTGCTGCTGTTCTTGCTGGCTTTCGGTGCTGTGTGGGCTGTGGCTGTGCTGGGTTGCTTGTTCGTCTGCGTCTGGGGTCCCCTGTCGGTCCCCCCGCTGCAGCTTGCTGTGGGCCTCTCAGGTGGGGCCCCGGGTGTTCCGGGCCCCGCTGTATGCGTTGGAGCTCTTCTGGTGGTACGGTCCCCCTGGGCTTGCCATGTAGTTCCAGGATAGCTTTCCACTCCTTGTTGCCCCCCCCGCTGCTGCTGCTGCGCTCCGGTGGCTGCGGTGCGTCGGGTCTGGGTTGCCATCCCCCCGGTGGGGGGCCTCGGGCAATGATTTTTGCCCATTCTTCTTCTTCGTCCTCCTCCGACATACCTACAAGGTGTGCGACCCCCTTCCACGTCTCCGAGTCCGATTTGGTCCACCCCCGTTGACCAAAAGCGGTTTGCACAGCAGCCTTAAATCTTTTTCCTCTCATTCTCTGGTCGCCTCGGCCTTCGTGATAAGGCTTCGGCTGGCTCGCCTGCCCGCTGCTGCTGGGCTTCTCCCCCACTTCCTCCAGTTCTGGGGCTTGGTATTGGTCCCCGCTGCTGCTGGCTGCTGCCGCTGTTCCCCCCATGCTCTGCTGCTGCGATTGGTGGGGTTGATGGCTTGCGGCCTGCTCGTCCCCTCCTTGCTGGGTGTGCGGCTGCTGCGTGTTGCTGTCGCCTGTCGTCGGCGCTCCCCCACTGATTGGCTCGTGCTGGCTTGTGGGTTGCAGCTGGGGTTGGTGTCCAGGGTGGCCCATCCTGGCGCATCCTTGGCTGCCTTGCTCTGCCATTGCGGCTTGGGTGTTGGTGGGCGGGGTGCTCCCCGTGTCGGGTGGTGCCTCTGGCTCCGCGGTTTCGCTGGTCTCCGTGGCTGTTTGTTGGTCTGGGGGGCTCGCGTGTGGCGGGAGGGGCTGCAAGTATCGCCCCCACCGGTTCCGGATGGGTTGTTCCGGCTGTTTGCCTGTGCTGAGTGGCTGTGGACTGCGGCTGCAGGCCTGTTCCTCCTCCTGCTGCGGCTGCGAATGCTGCGGTACGTTGCGTGGCTCTGTCGCCTCCTCCTGCTGTGGGCCCCCTGGTCCCTCGTCGCATCCCCCGTGGTTTATCCCCGCCGGTGCCGTGCCAGGGTGGTTGTTGTTGTTGGTCCCTGTCTGCGGGCGCTGCGCGGGCGCTGCTTCTCTCGTTGGCGGCGCTTGTCGCGGCTGCTGTGGTTGCGTGCTGTGCTGTACTGGCGGCCCTGCTGCTTGCGGTTGCTGCTGCTGCTGGTCCGCTGGGTGAGGTCTCCCTGGTTGCTGTCCTGTGCTTGGACAGCTCGGCTGGCTCTGTTGTGCCAGGCTGCAGTGCTGTGCGTCCGTCGGCTGCGCTTGCTGCTG